GCCTTCGGGGTGACCACTAAGTGTATTGTTGTTAGAGGCTTCTAAAGTAACCTCTGAGATTAATAGCATTGCATTAATAGGATCACATATGGAGATGAACCTGGAATACTCGTTAAGCCAAAAGTTTTTGTTAGAGGAGAAAAAAAAAAAAAAGGAGGTTTCTACTCTGAGTTTACATTTTATGAACTCTAGGGAGGTCACAACTCCACATAAGCTGATTAAGGAGGCCAAATGCTTCATATTGCTGGCAAAGAGATCAGAAAAATATTTATCCTACACTGCATCATTTACTGGTATTTCCAGCTATTCCTAAAAACATCATTACAGAAAGATGGCTTTGGAAGCATAGGATAGCACAGGATAGAGCTTCTCATTAACCAGCCTGTGGGTTTTATAAGTAGTATCATTTGGTCAAYTGTGAAACAAGAACTGAAAACTTTCTGTGAACTAGCAAATTTGTTCAATTATTCTGCAATCCTACTAAAGGGCATATTATTTTTAGAGCTTCTCCCATCTTCCTTCATCACCGGATTTGAGTGGTARACTGTTTCTTGATGACCTCCCTTGAGATGACTGTCTTGAAGATTTTACATTTATATTTCCAGTAGTATTTTTAACTTTCATTATAATTGGGGAAAAGCTTGAAATCAGGTTGTGTCCTTTAATGCTTAACACCAACTTGCAAATGCAATACGAGAAAAAAAGATTATATTTAATTCCAGTGTCAGGGCAAGCTGTACCTACCTTTTTCCATCTTTAAGCTTACTATTTTTGTATGCTCTGTAGAGCTGTTTCACAAAGTTACAGAAGCAGGGTATGTTTAAAAAACCCGCTGTGACAGATGTAAAGCAAAAAAAAAACACATCATATTTTCATTATTAAATAGGAGCTAATTGGTAACATTGTTTTGACTTACTATTTCATATTTATAGAATGAAATGCAAARCTTTTAAGGTTGAGTACTTAAATATTTGGGCTGAAGGCAGAGAATAGTTTTTTTTCAGTCTGGCAGATCTCTGGAAAGTGCCTCAGCACTCCTTGCAGAATAGTTTTCAATATACTGAACAAATGTTTTTAGGGACTTGGTGTAACAGAACCTCAGCTTGCTACTGCTTTGAGGTACTTCGCCCATTTCTCTTCCTGGGAAATAAAAACAAATTCCTCTGGTAGGAAGTTTCTTACCAGAAGCACTTCTGTGCTGTAAAAACAAAGTCTGTGGCTTCATTAGCATGCTCCCTTGGTGCACATGAACTCAGCCTTAGCATTGGTGGCTGAGAAGCCTTATGTTGCATTTGTAACCCGCACAGCTTTACGCTGCATTTAACTCTTAAGAAATCAAGCAAATGGCATTTACTTATCATCAGTGCTCCTTGACTTAAATACCTTTCTAACATACATCTTTTCAGGTGGAAATCGAGATAAATGTAAAAATAGCTATACAGGTCTTGACCAAAGACTCTTTTGGCTTAATAGCCTGTCTTGTGTAGTCAAAAAGAAGGTGTTTATGGCACAAGAAGCACAGGGCGAGCATGCTTGTTGCTTTCCCTACCAGCTTTCAAAATTTCTTTCATCCTAGGCTCTCCTAAAGGCTTGTCTATTTAGCAAATCCCAGCATTACATTTTCCAGTTTCTCTCACCCAAAAAAGCTTGCTGAATAAGAGCAGCCTTTACCAATCTATATTGCATAAAGAAACATTTATTTTGATTGTGAATTTCACTTGGTTAATATTTGCTGCATGGTAAATCCTTATGTGCCATGTTTATGCTGGTCATAGTTCTGTAGTYCCATGCCATATTCCCCTTTAACTTCTTTTCCAGACTGAAATATGTTAGTTCAAATGTTCCTCAGCTAGTCCAAGGCATGGCAGTGCTATTGTATTTCGTTTGCTTTGAAACTTTTCTGGATCTGATATGTTATTTTCTGAAAAAAAGGGACCTAAAACTGCATACAGTATTCAAAGTGGGACACACCCATGCAGTTACTTATTGACCTTTTAGTCTTTTGTTCTTTATTTCCTTTTTGACAATTTCTAATACTTTGCTTTTAGTTTACACTGAACTGATTTCATGGAATTACCTATCAAAACCACAGGGTCTAACTCTTGAGGRATAATGATCATTTCAAAGGCTCTATCTTGACAGGTGAAATTGTGACTGTTTCTCCCCATGAATGTTATCTGACGTTTTATTTCATAGTCACTCAGTCTTGTGTGTCTATCCACAGTTCTTCACAAGCCGACAATGTGCCCTCGTGGCCAAGAAGGCCAATGGGCTCCTGGATGCATCAGGAGGATGTTGCCAGCAGGTGGAGGGAGGGGATCCTGCCCCTCTCCTCAGCTCTGGTGAGGCCACACCCGGAGTATTGGGGGCAGCTCTGGGCTCCCCAGTATGAGAGGGTCCAGCAGAGGGCAACAAAAGATCATTAAGGGACTGGAACCTATCTCGTAGGAGGAGAGACTGAGTTGGGCCTGTTTAGCCTAGAGAAGAGAAGGTTGAGAGGGGATCTGATGTATGTATCAACACGTGAGGGAAGAATGCAGGGAGGAAGGGGCCCAACTCTTCTCAGTGGTGGCCAGTGACAGGACAAGGGGTAATGGGTACACACTGAAACACCAGAAGAGGAACATGTGAGGAAGAACTTCTTTCCTGTGAGGGTGCCAGAGCCCTGGCACAGGCTGCCCAGGGAGGCTGTGGAGTCTCCCTCTCTGGAGATCTTCCCAACCCGCCTGGATGCCACCCTGTGCCCTGTACTCTGGGTGTCCCTGCTGGAGCGGAGGGTTGGACTGGATGATCTCTAGAGGTCCCTGCCAACCTCAGCCGTTCATGATTCTGTGATTCACAATCTGCCTGTATTTTCACGAGTGTGGTTTAATCCAGTGCCTGGAAAAGAGTCTATAGCATCTCTATGCAGGAATTCATAGCAGTCTTCTGACTTCAGAGTTTCTGAAGGGGAGTGTAAAATCCAAGCAAAAATGATGTGATGAAAATAAGAATATTTAAAATAAATATCAGAGATGTTTCTGTTAGAAAGATAAATGGAAGCCTGGTTTCTGGGACATTTAAACATTRCTTGATAAAAACATATTAATAGTCTAAACTGACAACCTCAACTGTATCATGTCTGAGCACTTTTATTATCACTGCACAAATATTTATTTTTTTTCCTTCCTCCAATTCTTATGTATCATAAAAAACAATTCACAAAAATCTCTGAAAATTGTTGCCAGAATTCAAAGACATCATTAAGCAGTTGAATGGGAATTTAATTATTGTAAATATTTTTTCTAAAGAAGACARAGAATACCAAAAGTGGACATACTGTCATTTGCAAGGGAAACYGTTAGGGAGGCCTCTGACCTGGGGAGGAGGAGGGAGCAGCCCACTGGGAGGACGAAAAGTCAGGGATGCTGAGCAGCATTCCACTTGGATTGTATTAGGTTATCTGGGTTCACACAGGAAATATCTGTGGCACTTACACAGCCTGGTAACCGGGCCTGTATTTGTAAGCTGATGAAAGGACTGTGCCTTGCACTCTGAGACCAGCATTAGCCACAAACCTGGGCAGCCAGGGGCTGGCTGGCTGCTCTCGTTAGATGGTGTTTCAGTTACCGCTCTCGGTTTGGACGTGCTGAGCCAAATTCACTCATTCATTCGTGCTGTGCTGCCATTCCTATTCTGTGACCTACATTTCCCTCCAACAACATGTGCCACAATTTGCCATTTTCCTCTCTCCTCTCCCCCCAGTTATAAATCTCTCATTAGAGGGGCTCTGCGGTTTGCAGTCCACTGTTTTCAATTTCCAGTACTTTCTATGGTATTTCCCCATGATAATCAGGCACTTTTCAGTAAATACTTTTCTTGAAAGTTCTTTCATTTTCTCCAGAAAATGGTTTTGATTGAATTATTTTAATTTGTCCTAATATGTCTATCTATCAGAGGAAGGGGAGTTGCACAGTACTCTGCATGACCAAACCTGTTCTGTGCTTATGCACCTCTCAGGTGTCTCTAGAGCATTACAGAGTGCATGGACGGTCATGTATGGACTGTCATATACGTTGTGTGGAGCAACCAGCAATATCTATCATATCTTTCATCTTTTCATTATTTTTTTGCTTTTTGTTATTACTGTACTGTGGTATGTCATATTCTAGGTATCTGAATCATATTTGTCCTCTGATTATAGATTTGGCCAAAAGAACTTAGTGGATATCTCAGACAGAAAAACAAAAGAAAAAACAGAACTTTCTTCTGCATTTCAAATTATTCTTTTGTATTTGATAACAGCCTAATTTATATCACAAGAATTTTTCTTTTATCGTATATTTGACTATTTTGTCTTTGACATAATTTCAATTAGCTGCCTTGGAATTTCATAAGGAGGGAACTGTTACTCTTGATGGTTTTCATGCTTATTTCTCTTCTCATTTTAATTTAAAACTTGTAAAACACAAAGAAGGAGAATAAATACAAATGTTATTGAAAATTGTTAAATATTCCACTAGATGGCAGGCAAGCATTTACAACCACAACTATCTGAAG